GGCCTCCACTCCAGCCCGGCTCTCTATTACCCAACGCCGGAGTTTTTCCCACCGCCAGGTGAAGGCAGGAGAGCAGAGTCCACCCGGAGAGCGGGCCGTGATCCCCAGCCAAGGAAGCAAAAGTGAAAGTTTCAAAGACTACCGTACCGGCCCTGGCGGAGAAAAACGTAGCCTTGCCTGGGGGTGGGGGTGCTAGTCAGGGGAAGCGTGTTGGCCCCGGGAGGGGACGTGCGACAGCCAGCGGGGAAACTGAGGCAGCGAGGTCGCCTGTAGTCTGGGTGTGTTAAAAGTTGTTGCAAAGACCGGGAAGAAGTTTCGGAAGAGCCTTCCGCGGGAGACTCCAGGCGGGTTTTAGCTGCTCCTGACCTGGTTTCCCGCACACTGTGGGTCGGTTCTGCTCGGGAAGCTGGCGAAGGACGCAGTCCTGCTCCGTTGCTGCCGCCCCTGCCCTCGCCACCCGGGTCCCCGCGCGGGGCTCATCCGGGTCCGGGCTCCGGCCCGAGCTGCGAAATCGCTTGCTTGTCGGACTCGAGCCGTGGCACTATCAAAGTGAACTGTCCCGAGAAACTCTTGTTTAGGAGCCGGGATGAAGCTCAAGCAGCTCGCTTTAATGGTGATTTGTGGCTCGGCGAGGGGCACGGACAGCAAACAGCCCGCAGGTGTGTGCCGTAACTCCGCCATCCGGCCTTGAATGTAGATTACTGTGGCGATCGTTGGATCGGCCCTTTGAAACCCTTTACAATTGCCTGTGACGAACGGCCAGGCTTAGTTTTTCTCTGAATAATGCCTTGGGGGTGAGTCCTCGGGGCTTGAAAAGAGCTCCACTTTAAGAAAAAGAAAATCGTTCGGTTTTCGTTTAGACCTCAACTTTCAGTCGCTAAGAGGAGTCACTCAAGCCAGTCAAAACTTAATGACTGTTACCTTTACTTTTTCTGTGTTCCCCAAAGCCACCTGTGCGTGTGACTTTGTTCTGCTTTTTCATAATTCGCCTCTTGTATGTGTGTGTGCATACCTACATTGTATTAGTGAAAGGAACAGTTACTAATTTGGCTTTCTCTAGTCCCAAACTGCACTGCCTGTTATAGGTGTTTGTGTGGGTGTTTAATATAAACAGGTATTATTGTTATTATTATTAATACTATTGTTAAACTCATCTTAATACCCACGCTATGTTCCCTCTGAATCACATCTCTTCTGGGAGAGTTTAACTTCAATATTAAACTTTTCCCAAGTCAAACCCAGGAGTTTACACCCCCAACTCCTCCACAACAACCTCCATCACCAAAATAAGGAAGAAGGTAGGGCCGTTCGACCTTTTAGTATTGATTTAGAGTATTTACATAAGGGGAGGAAAATGAACTTTTGTCTGAAACATACAACAAGCGGCGCTTTGATTTCATAAAATAAATGTCAACAACCACAAGAGCTTATCACACTAGGAAGGGGGTGCAAGGCTGGGAGTGCACAAATGAAAGGCCCACTCCTGCCGCTGCAGACTCGAAAGGGTTACACAGAAATAAGGGCCAAATTGGCCTGTTGCACAAGTTTTCTCTGTGCTTTCTAAGCCACAACAGGGGAGGGGGGAGCTGTTGATTGTTATCCAGCTCTGGGCAGGAGCAAACCCCAGTACCAGGGGGCTCTCGGCTTGGGCTGGCAGAAGGGGGGGCTCTCAACAGCAACCCCCTTTGTTCTCCGGGTCTCTTTCCCCTGTCGAACTTCCCTTGCACATCCCAAGTTTGTGTGTTAATGACGCTGTTACCATCTGGCTTGACCCACTTTCCAAAAGATATAAATCTCCCGGCTCCTTTGCCCGCATTATCATTTAAGTGCCACCATAGCCAGAAGAAAAAGATGCTTTCAGGCCTCCAGATTCTCTCGCACTAAGTCCTATTGGCCTGCCTCTTCCACTGTATATTTAGGGTGTAACATAGGGGGCAGGAGCCCCCCCGCCCCGCCCTGATTCTTGAGCTCTGTCCCTCCAAGCCAAAGAAGATGTGTTATTCGGTGCAAGGAAAGCTTCCAGTGAATTTCCCCTGAAAACATTTTTGTTTTATTTGCAGCAGGCGGAGTGCTTTGCGCCAGTGTACCTCCAGGTGCCTTTGCCTCCATCCCCCCTGTAGGTCTGTAAAAGTGTCAGCTCACGTCCCAGGCGGTGAGGATGGGCCACTCTGTGGCCCCGTTTGCAGCCAGAGAATGGATCTGGCTCTCTGGGAATGGGGGCAGGGGTGAAGGGAAATAAAGAGCTCAGCAGAGCAACTCCGGGGAGCTGGGCACCTCTTGGAAACTCTCACTTTTGCCAGTCCCTGCAGAGGTGTCCCGTGACGTACACACTTCTAGCTGGAGCTGGAGATCCACCTTTCCCGTTCGCCTCTTTCTTGGGGAAAGTAATCAGTGATTTGCGTGTTTTAAGCACAAAAGCTGAGGAAAAATCCAAGGAAAGGAGTGGGCCCCCGGCTTGGGCAGGGCTCCACAATGACTCCATTTATGAGGCCGGGTCCCAGTGAATAGACAGCAGAGTAGCTTCTCTACTCCTGGGCTGCCGGTCAGGCCCCTTGCTGACTTGAGCAGCTAATTTCCCCTAGGGCTCCCCGCACCACCTGTGTCTCTGGACCATCCTGTCTAGGACTCCCTTCTCCCCAGTTACCCTCCCGGAGGTGAGTTCCACTCGGATGAGCCAACCCCATGGGCTGGAAGGGTCTCCAGAGTGAACCTCCCAGCTGCCTCAGACCCTCTCCGAATTAGAAGTTACTCAGCAGCACCTGTCCTCACGAGTCTTGCGGGCCAGAGAAAGCATCTTTAAGGGGAAACAAATTCCTTCTGAGGAATGCAAAATAACTTATTGTATATTCCTAATTCTTTGTGGAACTGAGCACAGATAGGGTTTAAGACAGTAATTAGTTTACATCCCGCCACCCGCCCATTGCTGTTTGCATGCAAAAGCCAACTTTCTCTTTCCAGGTCACTCTCCTGCTTTCCTCCTCCAAACTTAAGAAAAAGATCTTGTTGAGAAATTTGGACCCCTGCTTTTTCCCCTTGAGAACATTATCAAGTCGGTATGGACAAATTGCAGGGGACACACTGTTGAAGTAAGATGTGCTTTTAACCACTGATCATTAGAATGGTTGTGTTCAACACACTCAGTGACACGCATGACCGCACTCTCACAGCACCTTCCGTGCTCACGTATTTCTGGACGGCCGTCTGCAGCAGAAGCTCGATTATGCTGAACCCATACATTTCGATGGATTTCGTCAGCCTAGTTAATTCCTCCGTGTGGTCCTGGCGTCGGAATGAACCTTGCACTGTCATTGGAGGTCACAGGCTGTGTCGGAATGTAGGAGTCTTTCCTGTGCTTGTTACTCAGGGAACTCAGGGGTCGCCCTAAGCGAAAGAAGACGGTGGTCCTTAAACAGAAAGACCGAAACAAGAAACCCTTTCTAAGTGGCAGGGAAGTCCTCCATCCTGATTTCCACATCAAGTTTTTGAAGGCCAACGACCACCTGCAAATATTTACTAAAGTGGAAATGAGCAGCCCCCTGATACATCTTAAAACTGAACAGAAAGGGAGAAGTTGAAAATGACATTTACAACCAGTGTCGAATTTAGGGTGGTTATTTTTTTTTCTTCATTTTCTGGCTCATCAAAGCTGTCTCTGCTCCCTCCCTTCTCCCTGCTGCCATAATTTTTCTTTTTCTTTCCTGGTACTGGGAATCGAACTCAGGACCTTGTGCTTTCCAGGCAGGTGGCGGAACCACTGAGCTAAACCCCCAGGACTCCTGCTGCCATAACTTTTAGACCAAGGTTCCCCTCCGCTGCAACTTCCTCTTTCACAAGGAAGCACTCCTGGCCCGCATTCCTAAGGGACTCAAGTCATTCCCAAGTGGGTGACTACATTCTGCCTTTTCGGGTGTAAATTAACATCTGAATACACCTCGACCTCCCTGACTCCGGCCTCTGTCAACACCCCTGCCTCGCGGAGTGGCAGCCGATTGCCCCTCTCCAGACTGGGCCTGAGGGCTTCCCTGCTTCCTAGCAAGACCAACAAGTGCTCGCCACGCCTATGAGAGGACCCCTGATGATGTTTGTCCACATCTAATGAGACACCCAAGGAAGAACATCCTTTAAGACATCCTTGCTTGATGGTCAAGGAAAGAAGAGTACAGAAGAGGAAGAAATACCTTGATTCTCTAAGAAATGCCCTGCCGGACTTGGTGGTACATGCCAGTTAATCCAAGCACTCAGGAGGCTGAGGCAGGAGGATTGCCTTCAGTTTGAGGCAAAACCCTGTCTCAAAAACACCACCACCACCACCACCACCACCACCAACAACAACAACAACGACCGTCCTAAGTTGGGCAAATGAGACTTGAAAGTCTTCCTTGGTTTTGAGTGCCCCTTACCCCAGAAGCTCCTTACTGTAGGGGATCCCCTGACCTGGAGCAGAACAGCAAGGATTTACAATGTATCACCACAGTAGCACTTTGAAACTTTGTGCTTGTTATGCTAATGCAATGACTTCTGTAGTAAGGGTATGTTTCAGCTTTTGAAATCAGCTTTTTACAGCGCCCTGTGTAATGACAGACATTACAGAAGAGGAAAAAATGTACCAGCATTGGTGGCACAATACTCCTGGCAACCATTCCGGGCCGTTGAAACAGATGAATGGAGACCCAGATACGCTGGTAAAGCGAAGCTGCCAGTGATCTCAGGGAGCGGACGGAGGCAGACGCTGGAGGCCAGACCCTTGTGAGCCTTATGGTGTGCCTGTCCCCACCCCGCTTTTCTCTCGGACTGAGATGAGACTCAGTCATTTCCCATAACCGGAAGCAAGGCGAATTCACACACTGATCAGATAGCCCCAAAGAGAGTTCTTTCATCGGTTATCCGTCTCTGGTGGACATCAGAGCTCGGTCACTCCGGCCTGGCCATTGTGAGCCTGGCTCTTCCCTCCCCTCCCCCTCCACAAAGCCCAGTGGCCCCTGGATGGGCCTGGGCTCTTCCCCACGACACGGGGACACAGGCTCCGAATGTCAACCTGCTGCTATGGAGAAGCCTGTGAGCGATGGTGTTAACAGTCCTGTTCGGGCCAGAAGGAGCCATCGTGTGGGCTGGCAGTTTCTGAGATCTTGGGCCACGGAGCCGACTGGAAATGTTGGCGTTTTCTTCCAAGTTGTGCCATTTTCTTCTAGAGGTGACTAGGAGCAAAATACCTGGCTGATACAGTGGCTCACTAATGTGAGTTGGGCCAACTAGAAGTGGTGTTTCTTCATTGAGACCAGAGAGTTCAGTGGAGCACGGGCTCGGACAGCCTTACTTTCAGAAAAGACAAATTCCGTACATCCACAGTCTGAAGTTACAAGCTTCCTTCTGTTTGATTGCTCCTCTCGTATTTTTCTTTGCATCTTTGGGTTCATATAGGCACAGAGTAATGGCAACATTCAATACACAAACTCTCTTAACACAGCAAATATATGAATTAGAGAATTTCCCCTTTGGTATGTAAATGATTCATACCGCCAAGGTCAGGGTCTTCCTTAGCAAACTTCTGAGAAAACTCAACATTTTTGCTCTTGTGATTTCTTTTTTGCTTGTGCCTTCGAGACAGAGACTCCTTATGTAGTTCAGGCTGGTCCCAGCAATTCTCATGCCTCAGCCTCCCAGGGGTCCGAGATTACAGGTGTATACCACTGCGCCCTGCTTAAAAATTAACACGTTTATCATGTATCACATCATCTAATCTATCCAGTGGGGTAGATTCTGACTCCAGCCTAAGTCCATCTAGTAATATTTTTTTTTCCAAACTGGAGACTGAACAGTCCCAGCGCTTTTTTACTTTTTATTTTGAGACAAGGTCCTGCTAAGTCAATAAGTAGACTTAAACGTGCGACCCTCCTGCCTCGCCTCCCACAGTCATACTTTGTAGCAATGCCGTCTGCAGAGCAGCTGTTCAAGCTAAGTGGAGAGCAGCACACCCAGGATAAACGTGGATCAGGTCCAGCAGGGTGGTCTTCTCGCCCCTGTGTGACACAGCAGCTTGGCTGAGCAGAGACCGAAGTGCCCAGAGGCAGTGACTCTGAGGCAGAGGAATGGCTTGCCGTGGCTCTGTGGCTGGGTGTTATTTATGATCAGATGCGTGTGGTTATTTTGAGCTGCAGGATTTATACACTGATGTTGATGGAGATGATGTGGAGCTTCTGAGGACAGGCTTTGAAATCGCTGGGCGTTTGGTTTTCCACGTTGAAATCTCAACTTAAATTGTTCATTGGTTTGTGGCAGAGAACACCTCATTTGAAATTCTGTTATGAACTCTGTGACAACAACCAAACTTATATGAGCTTAGAAATAGCTCTGACTCTCAGATCCCAGTGCGTTAGCTCTCGCACTTGTTTACAAGCTGAGCAAGAAAAAGCCTGGTTTCCAACCAGGAGAAAAGCGGTGTCTCAGCTGAGGTCCTCAGCCCTCAGAGAGACTGTGGAGTTTAGAGCCATCCCAGCAGACCTGGCTGCTTTGCCTCCAAATGGCACATTTTCAAACTCAGAAATGTCAGATCTTGTTATTTCTGTGGCCAGGGTTTGCTCTGGATCAGCGACAGCTGAGTTTCCTATCGATTATGTGGCAGTGCAGTTCATTTACAGGGTTCGGAGAGCTGCGAAAAGCCTCCCACTTAAGGAAAGGAACCTTCAGTCAAGGGCTGTGTTGTATTTCAAGGCAGAAATCAAAATTCAAGCTGGGGAAAGTGGAAGAGCAAATTACTTTTTTTGGGGGGGTACCGGGGATTGAACTCAGGACCTTGTGCTTGCGAGGCAGGTGGCACAACCACTGAGCTACATCCCTGGTCCCACAAATTACATTTTGAACCCAAACTTTTGTAGTTAAATCAACTCCTAGAGGGCTGTGGCTGGTCATTTAATTTGAAGCCTTATGATTGGGAACTGGTTTGGAAACCACACAAGGAGTCAGATTTCCTACAGTAAATGTGTGTTTAAATCAATGTACATGTCTACAGTTACGTCAAAGGGGAACAACAAGTCAAAGGCACTATTGTGAGTGTTGGAAGGAGTTGTGTATAGCAGCACTAACCCATGAACAAACAGCTAGATGGTCTCTTTCAGATCCATCTTAAATTCTTAAATAATTTAATATGCACTTATCATTCTAATGCATCCATAGGCAAAAATTATCTTATTTATTTATTTATTTATTTTGAGAAAGTGTCTCGCTATGTAGTTTAGGCTGGGTTTGAAATCACTATGTAGCCCAGGATGGCCTCAAACTCAGAGATCCTCCTGCCTCAGCCTCCTGAATGCTGCTGAGATTGCAAGTGTGGGCCACCAAATACATTTTTATCCCATGTGTCAATTCTTGATCATTTTCTCCATCACAGGATACAGGCAGGCAGATAGAAGTTTCTAGAAGTCCAAGATATTTCAAGGATCCAGGATTTCAAACGAAAGTGAACCCGAGTACCCCAGCTGTAAATCCACAAACTCAGAATGGCTCCCAGGAGGTGGGCAGGACAAAACTTCCCCGTGGGTGGTGCCAGGTCAGGGAGAATGTGGGCAGAGCAAGGTGGAGGGGTGTGAGGCACCCTGAGAACCACAGCCTGGCTGTGGCTGCACCCTGCCCACCAGGCTGGACCACTTCTCCAATGCTCGAAATCCATGCTACGCATAGGAGGTGTGGCTGTCAGTAACTTGTAAAGCAATATGTTGTGGGCAGTAACTTTGCATGAAGCCTCACTCCCAGGCTTTTGGATTTTGGGATTAAGAAATTGATGGTGGAAAAAAGAAAGAGAGAGAGAGAGGGAGGAAGGAAAGAAGTTGATGGTGAGTTGAGTGTGGCGGTGTGTGACTGTAATCCCAGCACGAAGGAGGCTGAGGCAGGAGGGAGGATCGCCAGGAGTTCAAACCCAGCCTGGACTCTATAGCGAGACCTTGTCTCACAATAATGTTATGTGCATCGGACAGGGACCATGAAGGCATTAAGTGCTGTGTTTTGCTTACTTTCTGTTTTCTGCTTGTGGGTGTGGACGTGGTGACTCCCAAATGCCCAAGGCCAGGCCTCCAAGCTGACACCTTGGCCTTTTTGTCCCTCCCTCCCAGTTCTCTGGTGGCCTCGAGCAGGGCTTCCCTCGGAGGCGGCCGCTGGGGCAGCTGGTCGGGGCAGCTGCTGCGCCTGGCCCTCCTGACAGTCACTGAACCCCGCGTCAACACTGCTGCATCTTGCAGTTTCCTAAGGGCCTCAGAAGGACTCCGCAGGGGGGTCCTCCTCAAGGGGCGGTGTAGAGCAGCAGGCGGGCCGCGGTGGGGCTCCTCGGGGCGGGCTGGGCTGAAGGTCCTGGGACAGCTGGGGGTCGGAGCTGTGCAGCAGACCCAGGGGGAAGGGGCGTGGCCACCGGCGCTGCCTTTCTCCAAGCGCAGCCTCTCTGGTTGAGAGGAGCCTCACGGTTCCTGACTCTTCTTTCCTCAGCTTAGTGGTCTCTCATCTTTGATTCTAAAAAGAAAAATAGCATTCGGGAGGCTGAGGCAGGAGCATCGCTGAGTTTAAAGCCAGCTTGGGCTACATAGCAAAACATATTTGTATATCTGAGTGAGAGATCCATTCTAGCACCAGACCTTCCTCCTGTGGGTGGAAGAGGGACTATCACAAGTGCTTTGCAGACAGCTGTGTACCAGTGAGGCAGCGGGGCCCCAGCTCAGTGTTTCAGAGTAATTGTTCTTCATACCTAATCTAGGAGTGGTTTTTAATTTCCTATTTTTAAAAAATACTTCTTTTTTTTTTTTTTTCAGTTTTGAAGAAGGAGCCCAGGGCCTTTGCACTGAACTATGTCCCCTCCTCCTTTTTTTTTTTTTTTTTTTTTTTTTTT